GTCAATGAAAAATGAGCCAGGAAAATCGTAAAAATTATGATTATCACAGTGAAAAACTAACAAACGTTGCCACCATCCAATATCACCACTTGCATTTTGAGTAAGTACTTTTATGCGGATGCATGAATGTGTATGTACATATGTATGTATGCATGTATGCATGTGTGTTTTGTTGCAATCGAACGGCAACACCGCAAGTATTTAAGCACAAAATGTAAATATACTTTAGTGGCACTTTCAAGAGGCGTTTACATGCAACAAATTGTTGTTGCAATTGTTGAGTGAGTTGCAAAGTGGAAGATGCGTGGCAGCAACATTTCACGCATTTAACGATGAGTTGTGTATTAGTTATGCTACAAGAGAAAAACAATTAAAGGAGTGAAGAAAAAAGTCGATGGTGTATAACGTATAATGTTGCCAGGTGGTAATATTTCGCACGCACATTTGTGGCAAGTAGTTTTTTATTGCTATAAACGCAAATATAGCAACTGGCCGTGTAGGAAAAGCAAACTGCACTTAACAAAATTTACTAATGTGATTTGAAAATGGGAACCGAGCGTTCGACTTCTCACAAGAAAATTAGCGTAGAGTAGGAAGAGATAGAATATATCCAGCAGTGATGTGTGCGAGTGCCCGTACTCAAATATCCGAGGCTACCACTTCTTCGAGAAGGTTTACCGATATTCGCTAGAAAAAGAGTACAGGTTTAGGATAGATCTCAGGAAATCCTCTCGTGGGCATCACAAAACGCCTCTAGGTGAGCTCTTTAAATAAAGTTGCGCATATCATCTAATTAAACTTAAAATAACAGAAGCAATGGAAGTAAGTTTCAAAGCGAATTATGCAGAATATATGCAGCTGGTTAATGCGAAAGAAAAAGGCAGATACACTCAAACGTATTTATATAGAAAGATAGAGAAAGGAAGAGAGTGAGAAAAGAAAATAGTGAGAGGGAAAGGGAGAGAGGAAGAGAAAGGTAAAGAGAGAGAGAGAGAGAGAGAGAGAGAGAGAGAGAGAGAGAGAGAGAGAAAAATAGAAAGAAAGACAGAGAGTTTAAATAAAAGTCAGATTTTGTGTTCATGTTAAAGATTCCCTCTCAAATGCCAATATCCGCCATTTTGATACTCAAAAATGGTTTTCCCGAACGCCTCGTGAACATGGTAAAAATTATTTCTTTGAAAAGTGGTCACTCGTCGATTTTAGAAATATTTTTAAGGAGTGCGGATAGATATTGACAGCAAGAACAAAATATATTTTACGCTACAAAAATAGCTGCTTTCCTAAAACTTTCTTGCTCGAAATATGGCGATTAGGAAGGGATTGATACGAGTGTTCCAAGTATAAATGAAGGCCATTTTTAAAATTATACTTGTATAGATTTATCTACCAGCAGGTGTGGTCTTTTCCTTCAAACGCGTTTTATGATAAGTTACTGCATATATTTTTACTGATTTTTTCCTGCAAGGATTTATAACAGCTAATTTTTATTATCAGTTAAATAGCAATTGCAATTCATAGTTAATAATTTGCCGCATAAAATTCAAATGTTATGCGTTTGAGTGCAGCTGCTGAGAAATTGTTACTAACCGTGGGATAGTTGATTAATTGCCAATTAAAAAGAAAGGCGAATATTAAATTATATGAAAGATATAGAAGTAAAGTACGTATAATGCAAATAAATGATAGTGAAGTAATTAAAATATATTTTATAAGGGGAAAGAACTGCACCAGCTTAGTTAAAGGCAGCCTAGGTTTTACTACTATTCTAAGAAGTTCACATTTTTTCAACAAACTTGAAATTCTGTGATCGGATGTTGGAAATCTGTTCCACCAACATGAATTTCTACTAAAATTCCAAAATACGCTGCAACTTAGTTCCAACCCTGTTTCCCCACTCTCACCCTCAACCCCAGCAGAGTCATGCAGATACCACTTTGCCGTGACCTTCGATATGCCAATGTTCGACCTTTTGCAGTGCCGTTACAATGTTGTTTTAAAACTTGTATGTGAGGTGATAAAAACAAAGAACAAACGAGGTTTTCTGTAATAAAAATTAGCCAAAGAAATGTCGGTCTTGTTTGTAATGATTCACAACACAAAGCGTCTTTTACGACCTTTATTTGTTACAGAAACTCTTAAGGTGGTCCGTTGATTTCGGCCGCCGTGATGCTGCAATTTGTTATGTTTCGAGAAACAAAGATCGTTCAATTCGTATTGCCCGCTAATGTGCTCCGCATAGCTAAAATGGTGAGCTGACCAAGAGAGATGTTGTTAAGAAATTTGTGGAAAAATAAAAAAAACAAAAACACAAAAAAAAAACCAACGCTGATATGGTGAAACGAAGAGTGCATTAGTGTTGAACAAATTTTCAAAAGCACGAAATCTTGCATAAGCGTTAAGTTATTTTTGTTGTTATATATATATATATATATATATATGTGCATTAGAGTGTGTCAAATAAAATGAATGTTTTGTTTCTTTCGGTGCTGTGCGAACGGGGCAAAAATCAAAAATTTTGTTTTCCCAAATATATGTACACGTAATTGGTATTATTGGAAATGCGCCGGTCCCAAATTTTATATAATATGCATAAAATGAAAAAAATCACCTTGAAGTTGACGCATTTTAAACCAAATATTTTAGTCAGAGCCACATCAGTTTTGGACATTACACGAAAGAAAGTGTCAAAAATATAACTTATGAGACATTAAGTTAAATTTTTAATTTTTTCTTTTAAAATTGCTTTAAGTTATTTAAAAAAATTTGAATTCTGTAGTTTAGACTCGCTATATTTTAAATACAAATATATTTTGTTTAAAATAAAAATTTAACTAAAGTTTAAAGGACTCAATCTAAAAATCATGTCAAGTCAGGTTTTTTTATTCCATAAATCAAAAGTATGGTATTTTATTTGTTGAAAAATAAAATAAAAATTTGCCAATTTTTTTGTACTTTCATAAAATAATTTCATATTTTTTGGCTAATGCACCATTCATTCGATTGTCAAAAATAAAAAAGCACATTAAATGCCTTATCCTTTGAATGTGTAATAAAGATATAATTTTTTTAAAAGAGTTGCCACCTGTTAAAAAATTTAATTGAAATTATTTAATAAGTTAAATGAATTATTAAAAGATGGGAATCAATTGAAATAGGTTTTGAAAAGGTTGATTTCTTAACTTCATGTAGGAGGGTTGCCACCTGTCTAAAAAATCAAATTCCACGAGAGACGAGAGAGGTTTAAGGTCATAGCTTGCAAATATTTTGAAGAGAGTCGCCAGCTGTTTGCAAACCGAATTCAATTAAATTATAAAAAAATTTTATATATGAAGTATTAAAATATTTATATCAAATATAAAACAATATTTGTTCTTTAGTCATACACCCATGTTATTATACATACATATTTTAGTTTACCCAACTCTATTAATTAAATTAAATTTAATTGTTAAAAGAGACGGCGACCCTTATATGTGCGTAGTTTAGAAGTAAATAATTTTCAAAACAATGTCGTTTGATACTCGTATTGTAATATTTAATTCATTTAACTTACTAAATAATTTGAATTAAATTTTTTAACAGGTGGCAACCCTTTTCAATTGTTTTGTTGAAAATAGGGGAATGAAAATTTGCGATAATTATTTTTTTTTTGTGACCGAAAACGAAACTTTCAAATGATCGGCTACTTGTAACCAAATGCATCTGTAAATCGCTCTATCATCATAAATTAACGATAAAACCTTCTACCTTTGGTTGATGAAGTTGAAAGAATAAGGGATGCGTTCAGACACAAGTAACCGTAAGTAAAATAACGACTCATATATTAAGGCAAAGATGCCTTCAGAAAAGTGCTTTATGCTTTTAATTTCTTTTTGCACCGAGGCAGCTGCGACAGAAGTGATTGGCAGGCAGGCCGATAAATCAGTGGGTGTGGTTATATTTTCGTCGCTTTCCAAAGTAGCGCGTGTTTTAACCAGAGATGGGAAAATTTGTATTTACTAAATACCAAGTGCTAATGGCTGCTGTAGCTGAGTGGTTAGAGTCGTACAGTAATGCAGCGAGTGCAATAAAATTCTACGTATGCATATTCGCGGTGTGCTAACACAAAAAGACAAACATTGAACATATAAACCGTTATTTTGCTTTTATTTAGTGATAATCACTATTTTCAGTAAGCAAACAAATACCGTCATTGCAGTAACGATAGCCAGCAGGGTGGTGGATGGTAATGATAGCGGTAATGTAATATTAATGGTAATGAAATGGTCATGGTAACGGTATTGGTAACGGTAATGATAATGGTAATGTGAAAGGTAGCGATAATGGTAATGGTAATGGAAAAGGTAATGGCAATGACAACGGAAATCGCAATGGGAATAGTAATGATAAGGGCAATGGGTGACAATAGTAATGGTAAAGGTAATGACAAAAGTTAATGAAGTGGCAAAGGGTAATGGTAATGGTAAAGGGCAGTGGTAATGGAAAGATGTAATGGTAATGGTAAAGGGTAATGGTAAGTGTAAGTGTGGCAATGGTAATGCTAGTGGTAGTAGTTGGAAGTAACGGTAATGATAATGGTAATGGTACTGGTTACGGTAAGGATAATGGTAACGGTGGGGGTGATTATAACGCCCATATAATTAGTGCGAATTCTGACTTAAATTTCTTATCGAATCCAAATTTAATTGGCTTTTTGACTAGCCATCAACGCTCGAAATTTCAGTATTAAGAGCTGTCAATTTCAGTGTGAAGTAAAGCCATGACAATTGGCTTGAAAGTTTGTGCAAGAAAGCGTTTATTTTTCACAATAAATAATACATATATTTAAATAGTTATAATAATTTTTTGTGTAATTTCATTCAGGCCTATCATTGAGTACCTATCAATTCTATTATCTTTTTCTTATTAAATAGACTTCCGACAAACGCACTTGGTTAGCGTCTGTACGTAAAGGGGTGCAGCGGTGCATATTATTAATACAAAATTTAATCTTGGAAAATTCAAAAATTTTCTCCCAAACACATTATGGCCGGAGGATTAGTTTTACGCTTACATCCATAGCAGCATTGCTCTGCAAGGAAAACCAAAACCACTACCAAACACATGACGCCATATCCGATCCAAACGTATTTTAAGTCCTCCACTTTCATTGGCCTGAATTCATTCTTGCGACTCAAGTCGACAAACTTCAAACGACCGGCTCTGATTAACTCCAAAAACGATGCCTGCGACCAGTGTTCGATTAGACCTGACTCCATTGTCTCCAAGATCATTTCATTTAATATTTCTGCGAATATAGAATTACTGTGTATGGGAAAGCTCAGTGGAATATTGTGATAGAGACACAAATCGTGGCGCATACGGAAAAGCGGAGTGGTGAAAACCTTTTGTTGCTCTCTAAAGATTTTCCACTTGCTCAATGCTATCATGTAGATATATTTCGTATTGAATGCATCACGAGTGCGTAGAAATCTTTGATAATCCCCCTCAATCTGAAACATTGGCGTATATTTTCGCAAATCCTCGGCACGAGCGAACAACTCATTGTACTCTGGAGCAAACATGTAAACCTTCATGTTCGAGTGGAGAATATCATTGAAGGAGCGAAAGGGTGGCTCTTTCGGTGCACTTGTCCAGTAAGCGGCAAAGTATGCATTGTACGAGGTGGTTAACAGAATACCAAGTATACAGATTTGCAAATAGATGAAGCGTATGACGAAAGGAGCGTATGCTAGCTCCCGAAAGGACTGAGCCAATACACCGCGTAGACATGCGTCATGCAAGAAAAAACGAGTCATGTCCGGTTTGTGGTCGTACTGCCAGAGTGCAAAACTTAACACAATCGAAATAACAAAGATTGTAAGCAACGTCAAGGCGAATGCTAAACCCTCGAAAACAATCCAAAAGAATTCATAGTGCGGTACATCTGGTTCTAGTGGCGACCAAGCGCACCAATTCGCATGCTCGTAAGGATAAGTGAGGCCATCAAAGGTAAATTTTTTATCAGAAGTCATGCGAGGAAAAGTAAGACCAATCGAGATATCGACAGTGCCATTACGCACAGCGGCAACACATTCCTGAGCTGGCGCAAATCGTGTGATCGAGGGAGCAGGCAGCGGTTCGTAGAGCGTGCAATTATGCTTGCTTGCAAAGCTAGTGAGGAAGTGGCCAGCATAGCCGCCCATTATTCTTTCACCCTTGTAATCGTACACAACGAGGCGTGGATCAGTGCCACTCATTATAAAGGACAATTTATAGCCCTGTAAATTGCCGAGACGTTGTGGATAGATGGGACCATGGTGGAAAAGATCCCAGCTTAACGACTTGCGCTCCAGCGAAAAGTCGGGAAAGTGGTTGTAGCTGTAGAAGCGGGCGGTTACCTGAAAGAATTTTTGAAAAAAAAAAGTGAAAGGTAGGAAAATTAATAGACACCACAATGAGATCAACATCAAAATACGCCTATCAGCCACAAAGAGCCCTACCTTGTAGTCACTGCATAGCGCCACCACATTAGTCATTTTACTACGCCAACAAAATTGAAAGAGCTGCTGCAGGAACGCGTCATCACAGGTTGCCATTGCCTTCTCAGTGTTTATTAAAAATAATATTTTGGATTGTGTTCGATGCTTCAAACTAGCCACCAGCGCTTTGAGTAATGTAGTCTGTGCTGCAAGCGGTTCTTCCATGTACACAACCACCATCAGAGCGGCGCTGAAATGCTGTTCCAATAAAACCTTGCTCAGCTCGTTCATAAGTATAACTGGCACTCCAAGGTCGGCCATCAAATCGCGCACGAATTGTGACTCATCCAAAGTCGAGTCCAGCATAAAATTTTGGTAGCGTCTTAATTCCTTATGACGACTTTTCAACGGAATATTTGCAGCTACACCGAACGCCGCCAATCCAGTTGCATTGCGATTGCGTGTGAAAACCAGCTGCTCAAAGTTGTCTAGGCGTTGCACATCCTGCAGAAAATTCATCACAGTGTAGTCGGCTAAGTCGTCTTGTGCCGCAGCACCACTGACTGCGCTTGTTATTAGGAGTAATGCGAGACTGCCGACTAGAAGCTGAGTGCGCTCCATTCTCTCCGAATTGCAGGAAAATGTCAGCAGCTGGGGCTGGACTTGCGCTTTTATTGCAATTTAGTTGCTTCTGCAATGCCGTTCCGCCGTCATTACTGAATTTACGCCGCTGCAAATTGATTCATAAGGGACTATATTTTTTGAATACGTAACATATGTATACACATAGCTTCAGGCAGTTTAAAGTGTGGTGCCATATGTATGTATCTGTGTTAAGGTCAAAGGTTACACATTATGTTCAAAGTGCAACGCAATATTCCAGCGTGTTTTAAATCATTGGGTTTTCCATAATTGAACCGGGTTTGATCGAGGTCGTTGATTGGCTATCCCAACCTCTTTCCATGCATGCGTATAAGACAGTGTCCAGTGATTATTCCGATTACTAATCTGAGAGATGAGCGGTCAAGCAGAGTGAGAGCTGGGTGTGAGTTTAATCCCTCGATGAGTACAGCCTTTAATCTTTATTTATAGGAGGTTCGAGGTATGCCCGCGTTTTGAGCACATTTTATCTCGGATATTTTCTTGAGTTTCCTTGCAAGCTCGTCGGCTATGCGGCCGCTAAGAACACACTCTGCTTGCAATCCCCTACGGATCAATTTTTGAATTGACTCAAGATCTACAAGTTTAAAGCAGCCTTCCCCACCTTTATGATCAAGTCCCCCATTTGGGCTGCAAACTACGGATAAATAAAAAAAAATAATAATGTTCAGCGTCTTCGATTACGATTTTGATACAGAAAACGGAGCTTAAAAATATGTAGCACTTAACTGTAAACAAAATGTATACATTTCTAGGCTCCGTATTTTGCATAATATTCGCAGTCTAGTCATTAGGACCGATACCTGCTATTACTAATGCAGCCTTCTCTGAATTGTTCGGAGCGCGCAGCATAGTCTTAAAGCGCAAGTTCGGTACATTGATCTGGCATCCCTAATGTAAAATTTGGTCTTCAATGCTGTTGACCCAACTGGTGCATGGAGCGCACATATCGTTTTATTGCAATTTTCTTACCTATAGCCGCCTTGCAGGCATACAGTGGCCTTCCTGGATCCGTCTTTTTTTGGTTTCGCTTCCAGTCAACTTGCAGATATGAAGAACGTATCCTTGGGGAGTGCCTCTGGTCACTTGTATAGTTATAGAGCCCTAGTTCTAAAAGAATAATTTTATTTTCAAAAAATACCCCAAAAAAATCCAACAGTGTCCGCTGTTCTCTCCCCTAAAAAGAGAATTAACAACAGATTCGGGATAGACATTACTGAAAGTTCCATCGGCATCGAGGAAAACTATCAGCGCGTATTCTTTTATGTCCAATCCGTTTGCAATCGTTGATACGATTTTATAAAGCGCTGTCTCCACCAAATTTCCCTTGGAATATGCGTGTGTGAGGTTTATAAGCCTGAAATTTTTCGGTTTCACATGAATGGCGTTGCCCACCTTTGCCTTTGTCCTCCCGTATGGCGTGTGAGTTAATGTTAGGCAGGCTATACAAATCGGAGAAAGCAGTGCAACTGTATGTTTTTAGCTGATCTTAGTTGGGCGGAAAAGATTCCGGTAAGTTCCGAAGATTTGTAGAGTTGCAATTACATTGTTGCCAAGGGACGTGTGGGCTCTCGCACCGGAAGAAGTATCGAAGGAGTCTGCAGAGCACTGCGGAAAGGATCTACAGCATTTTCCTACATGATGGATAGAGTTCATACTTGAAAACCTTTAAGCAGCCTGTTGGCTTCAGAGTTTTCCGACTTTAGAAGTAATGAGCGCATTACTATGCATTGTGAAATGAGGTGAAAATTCCTTATGTCGGAGATCTAAACAAAGACACGATATTACAGGATAGCTCGCCTCCTTTATCTTTGAGATTAGATTTTATAATATTGAGTTCGCGGAGAGAGATTTCTGCATTAGTCACGTTAAAAAACCTAGAGGAAAAATTTACCTCTTGGAGGATATATGCCCTGGTATTGCAATTTTCGGAGGTATAGTTAATTTAACTAAGGCATATAACTGGTTTATTTCACGCTGAGTGCTCCGCTCTACAAAGAAATGGGAAATATGGATAACTAGCCAGATCAGCCACTAAGTGGCCAGTAATCAGTGCAAACATTTCCTCCTTCAGTCATAGACTTAAATGTAAGAAAATTCGAGAATAATTCCTTGCATTGCTAGCCGAAAATTTTTTTGTTTGCTAAAGTGAGGCATGTGCGTATCTGGCCTACAAGAAAATAGTCACCCAGGGCGATATTTGGTTCTCGGATCGTACACACGTCTAAAACACTGGAAGCGTGCGTTTCGTTTACCACAACAAAATAGATTTGGATTCTTGCCTTTCGCTTTGTAAACAGTGGGACCAAAGCGCCGACTTCAATTGTTTGGTGGAGGCAGCGATTATAATTGTGTTTGATGCGCTCATAAAGGAGGTTTTTCGGACACCTTATCTTTTTTGAGCGCAAGAGAGTTTGATTTTGCAGAAAAACGCTTTGATGCGGATAGTTACGCACTCGTACTGACAGTACTTAGCACCGAAGTTTCTCTCGCATTACAAATCTAACAACGAATTCGGCTTCCTTTAAATTGCAGCTCTAGTAGAGGAAGCAAGCTCCAGCGATTTCCTTGTCAGCCTTAGTGTAAGCGAGGACATAAACCAACCGGGCAGAGGCATTTTCCACCTTAAGGAACCGGCAATTTTAGGTGTATGTCTTCAAATCATAGTCATTTGCCGTGTTGGTGATCGAAAGAAGGGTGTACTCAAGGCGAATTTATATAAGATGATGTTGTTTCACCAGCTGCGAGTAGCATTTCACTGTCAAAATTTTGTTAACCAATGGGTGTCCAACATAAAAACTAAACCCAGACGGAAATTTCTCACTGCAGTCAACTTAAACCCAACAGTGTCCTTAATTTGTTTGGGTTATTTTCCCAAACCTTGCAAATTTGTATACGGTTTGTTGAAATTAGAACTTCTGGGTACTTTTGGAACAGAAGTTATGTCCGCCAACAGATGTATGTAACTGCACATATGTATGTATGTATGTATGTACTTATGGCATTTTAACTATCCAAATGGGAAAAGATTTCCGCTTCGCTGTTCATTTAAATTGCAAGATAATTGCGTAATTTAGATTAGCATTTAGTAATTGTGTTATAGGTGGTTTCGCTAATTTTTTTTACTATTGCAAAATTTGTGACAGACTTGGCGGGCATACCAATACGTCAGAGTGTCAATTATGTATGAAATATTTTTGCTGCTTCAAGCGAATTAGCAAAATTCAAAACCATTGAGAGAGTTAACTAAATTAAAATCGATTAGTCGCAATAGATTTACAGTGAGCTCAATGGCGGAATTTGAACATTGTTGGGGAATAAATATTGGGGGAATACGATGTAACTATAAAAAAAATACAACATCTAGTAAAAATATGTCAATACCGTATTCCAGACAAAATAAAAGAAAGAAGGCGGCCTTGAAGCGGATCTGAAATAAGAATTTTTTGCCAGGGACCTAATATAACAGTTATTGATGAAAACTGTTATGAAAAAGTTCACTATGAAGGAAATGTTCTACAACTAAGGGATACATACCAATTGATTTCTCTTTCCACCGAGACTCAAACTTGAAAATAAATTTTTATTTGCAATTTTATGCAATATTAAAAAAAAACAATTATTTTTGATTTTTGTATTATAAATCCAAAATAACAATTATTTTAGACTTTTATAACATGTGCCTTAGATAATTGAATTGAATTTTATTTATAAAAGTCATCAATAAAAATCAGTCAGAGACTTTTACTTTTAAAGGTCATCAATCACTGACTTTCACTTTTCACTTTTCAGTCACTGACTTTTATTTTTTAAATCATTCGTATAAAATATAAATATTTATAAATAAAAGTCTTCCATAATTGTTATCTAAGGCATATAATTTAAAAATCAAAGTAACTGTTATTTGCAGATTATTTAGATAAAAATCAAAACATAATTGTTACTTTCGATTTATAAAAAAAGAGTCAAAATTAACGGTTATTTAAAGAGTAATTAAATAAAAGTCAAAAAATAATTGTTAAGGAGCGATTTTTTTAATAAAAGCTACAACTGCTCACAATTTGGATATTTTCTTGAAGTTCTCCATGGAATGAGTTACACTGCTCAGTGTCTTGATCAAGGAATGTGCTGAGCTCAGTACAAACTAGAGATGCCGTTTTTAAATCGATTAAATCCGATTCGATTTTTTGTCCATTTTTCAGTTCCGATTCGATCCGTGGATCAATTAAAAAAAAGTCGAAAATCGACATTCGATTTCCCCTCAATTGATGCATATTGATCTACGGTTCACCTCAGATTATCTATAAAATTTTGAAGAAATTTGAATTGTAGGCTGGTACAAAAAATAATGGCGCTGGACGTGTCAAGCCTTCTTTCTAACTTTAGAGAGCAAAGGCCAAAGAACTCAATAACCTCTCCGAAATAACTCTATATAAATTTATTGCTAATACTACAACAAAAACTGCAAAAATCGGAATTCCAAACTTTATGGAAGTTTTCATAAAAATTTTGCACCTAATTACTCCTTTTAGAAAAAATTTTAGTTCGTATGCACTTTTGCAGCAATTCTTTTCTAAAAACACAAAAGTTTTTCTTATTTGTGTGCAATGATTTCCGAAATAGCTATCACTTCTACCATTTTTTCCATTTTGGTTCGTGACGCTGGATTTTTAAATAAACACTCAAGATCGCCAAAATACCCTACAATTAACTTTATTGTACAACAAACACTTTAAAATACTCGCTAACACAACTGAACTTGCAGCTTGCTGATTCGCAACTGAACTTTGTGTGCGCCGTAGACCAGTGCAGATCGCACTCATGGCAACTCTAAAACGTTCTGACATTTATCGCACATTCTCTCATTTAAACGCTGTTCGCAGCATTCTTCCACTTGAAGTTTCTTTATGTCGAATATTCCACGTCTTTCGTCGAACATTCTCCCATTTTCTACTTGTTCGTTTTGCGTATTTCGCAGTATTCGCGACCGTATGTATAGTCGCTACGATCACTAAATCGTTGGCAAACCTCCAGCCATCGCTACTGTAGGCATTGCTAAGAAGACTTAATACATACAAAAGATACCACTTCTCGGTAGAAAAGAAAACACCATTCTGGCAGTTAGTTTAGATGTTTAAAATATCGATATTTTTTTGTGTCAATTTATTGGTTGCAATTTTTGTCAGCACTATATCCACAATAATATGCGAAAAAACAGAAAGTTAACTTAAAACTAAGGAAAGGAAAGGAAAGGAAAAGAAGGTCGATATCTCGATAATCTCGAAAACTATTGAACGGATTTTGACGAGATTTTCTCTAATATAAATAGAGGGAACTTTTTTTACTTAGAATTTTAATAGGATTGCCACCTGTCTAAAAAACTATAAGATCCCCACCGTTTGCTGGATTCAAAAGATGAGGTGTCAAATGAAAGGGATTAGCCACTAGGAAAGCACTTATTTTTTTTTTATAGGGTTGCCACATCTTAATAAAAGTACTGTTTTTAATCATAATAAGCGTAGGCATCAGTTCTGCATCGTCACTGTCAAACGAAAAGACTTAGCCTCTACGCGTGCAATAATGTATTATTTTTCTGAGTAGGGTTGCCACCTATTAAAAAGGTAAAAGATTTTCGCTATTCGTTGGATTACAAAATGAGATACCAAATGAAAGGGCCTGACCTCCGCATGTACAAAAGCTTTCTTTTTTCGAATAGGGTTGCCAGCTATTAAAAATTACTATCTTCTATACATAGTATAAAGGAAAGTCGAGATATTTTGACCACGCTAATCTCAAAAACTGCTGAGCGGATTTATACGAGATTTTTTTAGTATAATCTGTATCGATAGGAATATTATCTTTAGTACTTTAAATTTCTATACGGTTGCCACCTGTCTAAAAAACTATTACATCCGCACTGTTCGTTGGATTACAAGAAATGAGGTTTGAAATAAAAGGACTCGGCTTTTAGATGTAAAATAATGTATTACTTTTTGAGCAGGGTTGCCACTTTTTAAAAATTATAAGACAATAAACGGTGAAGGACCAAAAAATGAGGTACCAAGTGAAAAGTTATGGTCTCTGCATGAGCAATAAGTTTTTATTTTTTGTTTGAGTGGGGTTGCCACCTTCTTAAAAATTATTATTATTAATAACATTAGATTTTCGCGGCCTCCAGTTGGGCAATTATATATTATTTTTTAGTAGGGTTGCAACCTGTTAATCGTATCTTATTTAATATCTACACATCCAGCGCACGGCGAGGCCTTCATATTTTATAGAAACCAGTCGCAGATTTCAAGGCCAGAATTAAATAGCTAAACACAAAATTTTTCCAGATGACTCTCTGATTCTCCTCCATGAAAAACATCGAGCCAATAAGTCGATGTTGTCCAAATATCGGAAAGCAAAAATCGATGTCGATGTCGCAGCACTAGTTCGATGCCCGGTTAGCACGATACCAAGGCTGTTCCTCGTATTGCTGTTGTATTCTGTTATATTGTTGTTACTTTTAATGTACCCCCTTTTTCGCAATCAGCGCTCGGCAGTTTTCCGTTTGCGTCGATAATAGCAGCATCGCTCTGTGAGAAAGACGAAAACCATCGCCAGGCACACAACGCCAAAACCTATCCAGACCAATTTTAAGTCCTCTACCTTCATTGGCCGGAATTCATATTTGCGACTCAAGTCTACAAATTTCAAACGACCTGCTCTGATCAAGTCCAGAAACGAAATCTGTGACCAATGTTCGACGAGACCAAACTCAGTTGTCTCTAAAATCATTTCATTTAGCTTCTGCGCAAATATCGAATTGCTGTGTATGGGAAATCCCAACGGAATATTATGGTAGAGACACAAATCGTGGCGCATACGGAAAAGGGGTGTGGTGAAAATCTTTTGTTGTTCCCTAAAGATGTTCCACTTGGTTGTTGATATCATGTAGATATACTTCGTATCGAATGCATCACGAGTGCTTAGATATCGATGATAATCGCTTTCTACCTGAACCATTGGCGTATATTTTCGCAAATCCTCGGCGCGATCGAATAACTCCTTGTACTCTGGTGCAAACATATAAACTTTCTTGCTTGAGGTGAGAATATCGTCGAAAGTGCGAAAAGGTTGTTCCTTCGGTGCACTCGTCCAATATGTGGCAAAGTATGCATTGTACGAAGTGGTAAGCAAAATGCCGAGTGCATAGATTTGTAGATAAATAAAGCGTACGACGAAGGGAGCCCGCTGTATCTCTCGAAAAGATTGACCCAATACACCGCGTAGACATGCATCATGAATGAAGAAACGCAGTGTGTCCGGTTTTTTCCCATGCTGCCAGAGCGCGCAACTTAGTACAAGTGAAATAACAAAGATTATAGCCAACGTCAGAATGAAGGTTAAACCTTTGAAAACGATCCAAAAGAATTCATAATTAGGTATATCTGGCTCTATCGGTGACCAAACGCACCAATTCACGTGCTCGTAGGGATAAGTGAAGCCGTCAAATGAAAGACGCTGCGGAAAAGTGAGTCCAATTGAAATTTCAACAGTGTCATTACGCACTGCGGCAATCAAATCTCGCGCAGGCGCAAAACGTGTATTCGAGGGCGCGGGCAGCGGTTCGTAGAGCGTGCAATTACGCTTGCTTGCAAAGGTAGTAAGAAAGTGGCCAGCAAAGCCGCCTAATACCCTGGCACCATTATAATTGTAGACAATAAGGCGTGGATCAGAGCCACCCATTATAAAGGATAATTTGTAGCCCTGTAGATCGCCGAGACGTTGTGGATAGATGGGACTGTGGTGGAGAAGATCTGGGCTGAGAGACTTGTGCTCCAGCGTAAAGTCGGGAAAGTGGTTGTAGCTGTAGAAGCGGGCGGTTACCTGAAAGAGTTTGTGAAAAGAGTGAAAGGTAGAAAAATCAATAGACACCACAATACCAACAACATCAAAATACACCTATCAGCCACAAAGGGCCCTACCTTGTAGTCACTGCATAGCGCCACCACATTAATCATTTTACTCTGCCAACAAAATTGAAAGAGCTGCTGCAGGGACGCCTCATCACAAGTTGCCTTTGCGCTCTCAGTGTTTATTAAAAATAGTACTTTCGATTGTGTCCGATGCTTCAAACTAGCCACCAGCGCTCTGAGTAAAGCAGTCTGTGCTGCAAGCGACTCTTCTATGTACACCACCACCATTAAGGCGGCGCTGAAATGCTGCTTTAAAAAGTCCTTGCTCAGCTCGTTTAAGAGTATAACTGGTATACCCAGATCGATCATTGCATCTCGTATGAATTGTGACTCATCCAAATTTCGAAAATCTTCGATGACATTAAGTTCGCTCTCAACGCCGATTTTCATGGCTGCACCAAATGTCGCCATTTCAGTTGCATTACGATTGCGTGCGAATACCAGCTGTTCAAAGTTGTCTTGGCGTTGCACATCCTGCAGAAAATTTATCAAAGTGTAGTTCGCTAAGTCGAATTGCGCCGCAAAAACTATGACTGCATTTGTAATTAGGAGTAATGCGAGAGCGTAGCTGCGTAACTGAGTGCCCTCCATGCTTTTCGGATTGCCGGAATATGTCAACAGTTGGTGTTTGTTTGGCGCTTTTATAACATTTGAAATGGAAAACAAATAAAAAGTCGCTCTAGTATTCTAATGTTGCTTGTTGTTGCGTAATACATAATTGACTCCCCGGGGAAACATCACTTTTATGTACAAATTACACACATAGTTATCTTGTTATCTTTTAATTGCCGAGTTCGTGGCGGATATGCAACAAGCGAACATTTTGGCTGTGCATACTGGCCTAAGGTGGTTCGACTTTTTTTATTTTTACATGCTCGTACATATCTAGGTGATTAAATATTATTACTTAATTAATCAAATGGGAAATGTTTTTCGCCCGAAATCAGGTGTCATTTACATGTCTTTCTGTCTATGAGCCATCAAGGAAAAATTAATTTAAACTATTTTGTAGGTTCGCGTTTAAATAATGACTGAAGAAAAAACCTTAATTATGGCACCCAACACCTAGTTCAAACATAGACACTGATTTGGTAAGAATAATTGCCTATTCGAATTTGACTGTCCTCCCGCCTCTTTGATTTCGGTTCCTTATCTAATCAATCAATCTAAGAAAAAAAGTTCCGGGATAAAATTGACTTTAAATTTTGCTTTAAACTTTAAAATCTTACTCTAAAGTTTCGATGCAACGAAACATGTTAAAATTCGTCTACCCAGATAATTTAAGCTTTTAATTAGGAGACTGATAACATCTCGTGCGGCCAGAGGTAGGAAACATGGATAGGGATACAAAATATGTTCTAGGTCGCGCTGTCGCTTCATTCTATTGCAACCAAAAATAATTTGTGTTGAGACGGAAATTCTGGCTAAGGTAGTAAAAAGTCTTTCGTAAGACAAATGACAATAATAGAAATGACGGATGGCAAAAAAAACTGAGAAAAAAATATTTCTCATTGACCACTCGTGAGAAAAAACACTTATATATGTATCACTTAGCTCGTGTCGCCCCAATAGTCACAATGATCGAGTGAGCAAAGCAGGGGCGTTCCATTCGAGAGATCGAATCTTAGCAGTGGAATTTTCTATATATTTTTTTATTCTTTTTGACGTAGAATACGTCTTACCTTAAGGTATGGGGGCTATGTTCAAATGTTGTAGTTGTAATTTTTAGAGCTTCACAAAAACGCTTATTGCACGAGAACTAATAAAGCGATTTCAAAGAAAAGTGTGGCGTTTCAAAGA